GATTTCGTTTAGAATCGGTACTGAATTGAGGTTATCAGATATTTTTACAAGAGAACCTAAATAAGAGAACAACATACAACCAGAAATTATGCTTATATTTATTGTCATAAACTTAAGTAAATTTAAATAATGATTTAACCCATCTCAAGATACCAAGTGCAACATTAATATCTTATTTTTGGACTTCAACATTAATTACTAGTGGTAGTCTCGTTGTAATGATCAAACACTGATAATAAAGCATGTCAAATGATAAACCCTTCTTTGGATTGATTTATTATTTACATGTATAACTTTATAATTATCAGGTGTCTACCATTACAGGTATGTATAAAATCCTTCCAGTTATTAACCTTTCTTTGGGCTGGGTAATTACCGCATGGATGTAAATACATAATACATTTAATATTTTCATGAGAACTGTTATATATGAGAGGTCACTTTGGCGACTTGATACATTAAATTACTCAATCTAATATTAAGCAATCACTAATTGAATTTGAACCGTATTAGTCAAATTGGTTTGATCTTAATTTGTTGACTAAAATATTTAAAACATATAAATTATTCAATTTATGTTAACAAACAATTTTATAGAACCAATATTATGTTTAAACCAACATAATATTGTAACAATATTATTAAACTAACATAATATTTCAACAATATCTTATTAATTAAATTCATAAAAATTTCATATTTATTGTCATAAACTTAAGTAAATTTAAATAATGATTTAACTCATCTCAAGATACCAAGTGCAACATTAATATCTTATTTTTGGACTTCAATATTAATTGCTAGTGGTAGTCTCGTTGTAATGATCAAACACTAATAATAAAGTATGTTAAATGATAAACCCTTCTTTGGATTGATTTATTATTTACATGTATAACTTTATAATTATCACGTATTTACCAGGTATAAAATCCTGCCAATTATTAACCTTCCTTTGGGCCGGATAATTACCGCATGGATGTAAATACATAATACATTTAATATTTTCATGAGAACTGTTATATATGAGAGGTCACTTTGGCGACTTGATACATTAAATTACTCAATCTAATATTAAACAATCACTAATTGAATTTGAACCATATTAGTCAAATTGGCTTGATGTTAATTTGTTGACTAAAATATTTAAAGCATATAAATTATTCAATTTATGTTAACAAACAATTTTATAGAACCAATATTATGTTTAAACCAACATAATATTGTAACAATATTATTAAACCAACAATAATATTGTAACAATATAATTAAACCAACATAATATTTCAATAATATCTTATTAATTAAATTCATAAAAATTTCAAAAAAAATTTAAAAATTTTATGCCATGTAGTAATGAATTTCCATACTTTGAAAAGGAAAAGACACAAAGAGGAAAATAAATTTCAAAATTAAAATGATATAACATCATAAAAAGGTACTAAACTGAATGTGAAGCATGCTGTAGCATGATTACATAAAACCATCATTAAAATACATGAAAAACACGTTTAGATGTTCATCAATCATTGTAGAAAAGCTCTGATACCAAATGTTGGTTCTTTTAACATATCAAATATGACTCAAACAATTGTTTTACAGAATCAAAATTGAATTTTTTGTTCAAAACAAACTTAATAGATCCAAAACAATGGTTTTAGAATGTTTCCATAAAACTTATTAAATCCACTATAATATGCATGAAATCCTATAATAATTAAGAAACATATTAATATGGAAACGTACCTGATGAATCCATTAGAGTATTTTCTGAATTAATCAATGATTTGATCTTCCAATTACAGAGTATACTTAAGAACTTTAGATTCCTCTTTGATGGGTGAAGAGAAACTTTATTCGATACTGCTGCAACCGAGGACCATAACCTTATTTATAGTCATAACTGATGAATCTATAATTATGATTATATTCATAATTGATGAATCTATAATTATGCCTCAAGAGTTTCATATTCCTAACTTATCTCGTCATTAAGTTAGAAATATGACTGATGGTATCTAAACAATTAATTTTTATAATAATTATTATATCCCTTAGTCAAATAATTTTTTTTTAATTAGATCATTTTAATTTTGACTAATCAAAATAATAATTTAATATATTTAATTATACTATGTGTGACCTTTAAAATTGTAATGGGTACTATTTTCAATAGTACGAACTTCAAATCGGACGACACCGCCATGTATGGTTCAGATCTCACTCCTTTTCTTCTTCTTTGTGTGTAGTATGTCGGGTGGGAGTCTCGGAGTTCCCTCGCCTCTCCTTTTAGTGGAGCTCTGTATTACTCTTGGCATCTGCCTTAACCATCGAACGCACGCGACCACGAGGACGTACCCCGCCATTATGACGTACACCTCTAATAAAGCACTTTATTCTGTTTCATCTCGAGAAAGTTTCACGCCAGAATAAAAGGCATCACCATCTCCGAATTGGGAGGATTCCAAAGGTTTGTGTCACTAATACTGATAGAAGATAAATGACTGGTTTGATTATATGATTTGAATTATTGGTTGAGAAAAATCTCTCTCAAAACCTATATAAATACTCTCTTTCGAAATCTATAGACGCTTTATTGTTTTCCATATGGTTTTCATGCAAACAGTATTCTCTATCTCATGCAAGCTGTAAAGGAAAAGATATAAAGAAGAGGTTGTCGGATGCTAGATCACTTCAATTAATTGATCGCAAAATATAAAGTTGATTGTTCTTGAACTCCTTGTGTTTAGTTGATTCAATCCTACCTGGATATGTCTGATGAAGGATCCATCCGGTAGAAATACATATAATATATAGTTTAAACTAAATTTGAACTCATTGTATCTAGTTTGCAGAAATACATATAATATTTACCGAGCAATAAAGAAAGATGAATAGTGAGATTTACATCATACATATATACAATCATGTAGCAAAACATGTAATGTTGGTAAGTTCCAAAGGAGGTGAAACACCTCGTCAAAACATAGAGGAATGCAATGCCTGTCGAGTGTTGTTACTTCTATTGATTTGTATCCAATGAAGATTTGTGACGTTGAAATTAGCATCACGAGAGATAAAAAACAAGCTGCACAATCTTGTTAGGTTTCCATCGTGAAACCTGTTGAGGCTCGACTGCTAGGTTGAACCTACATCGCCTGTCATATCCACCATGGGCTCACCACGATTCTGACATAAAGGTAAAGAAAATATTTTGATTGATTCCCAGGCTCATCTGAATCGTGATGGGCTCACCATCACTATTTTGACATACACTGATGCTTCAGCTTTGTTTTCGGTGGCTTAAGCCAATACAAAAGCGAACCAAGAAAGAAAGAAAAATATATGTTGATTGATTGATTATATTTGCACAAAACTTCAACAATCATAAAAGAAAGAGAATACAACAAACAGCAACAAAGGTTGAATTATGAAAAACAAAAAAGAAAAGATCCTTGCTCTGCAACATAATCCGCATGAAGAGCCTCTCTTCTTCTAGGAATTAAAGCCATATCTGGTTCTTCCTCCCTCTGTAGCTGAGCTTTGATTCGAGGAGTCTCCGGTCAAGCTGTCTGTTCCTACCTTCCAAGCTTAGTCTAGAGACTGAAGAATCTAAAATTATCTTCTCAAAGTACCGGTGAGAGGAAAGATTGTGAGTTCCAAATGATCAAACATGGCATACATTAACTTCTTTTAAGCCCATTAGTCATAGCTGGTCAGAAACAGATTGGTTGATGATGTATTTAGTACTAATTAAAGATGCTAATTGCTTCTCCCCATTCAAACAGCAACATCACTAGTCAAAATAAGAAACCGTGAAAATTAGTGGGCAACTATTTAGTCACTGCATTTTACCAACAAATCATGAAACTTGAAAATGCAAGTTCCCCACCACATAATGTTACATGAAACCTATAAAAACAAGGAAGATAGATAGGTTTTGCAATTATTGTTTTAG